TCTCTAAATATCCGTAACACTAATCAAGCAAAATTTCTATAGTTCTAAAGATCAATGCTTCAAAATATCAACAGTTCAATATCTCTAATGATCAACAGTTCAAAATATCGAATGTTCAATATATCTGTCACATTGATGTACAGTATATATAAATAATAAGTATAAAAATAACTAACCAATAAAAATAAAAATAAATATTGTTCAATAAAATATACTATACGAAGTGTTCAATAAAAATTAATATAAAAATTGTTCAATAATATATAACTAATAAAATAAACTATAACAATACTGATCTTTAATCAAACTCAAATCAAACTCAAACTCGTATAATAGTTTGGTTCAAGTTTGATTTGAACTTTGAACCTTTCTTGAACTCAAGTCAAAGTTTGATTCAAGTTCAATTTGAATTTCAAAGCAAATTCAAATCTGAGCAAAAGTCTAGTTCAGTTCAGTTCATAAAAATATTACTATAGAGAGATTTTTTTATTATGTATATATGTAAATGAAAAAGCAAAATAAAATAATTATAAAGAAGTATAATTATAAATAAGTATAAATATAGAGAGGTTTAATTATAGTAATAATAAAATAATAAAAATTCTTTTATTTTGTTCTTATAAGTAAAAAATATTAATAATAATAACAAAAAATTAAAATAACAAAAATTAAAATACTTAATCAAATTTAATAATAATATTTTATTTAATACAATATAATACAAAGCCAATAATTTTAATATAGTATTTTATTTAATATAATATAATTAAAATTATTTATATATAAGCTTTGATATATAATTAAGAATGAGAAAAATAAATATTATTTGAAAAAAATTTGCATAATTTTATAATTTATATAATATTTTAAATATTCCAAATATTATATATATTTTATTATTATTATTATTATATATATTTTAATATTAAAAAATATAAATATAACTGATCTTGTAATTAGAGTTCAAAAAAAGTCTGGTTCAATTTGAATTTGAGCTTGAACTAGATTTAAATTTGATTAAAAGTTCAGTTTGACAATTTGAATCCAATTAAAAATCAGATTGGAATTCAGTTTGAACTTTAAATTAAACTTGAATTTAATTAAAAATTCATTCAAGTTCAAGTAAATATTTAATAATATTCTAATTAAAATTATAATAAAACTCAGATATTTCAAATTATTTTTTATATTTAACCTAAGAAAAAACTGACTATTTTCCTATACTTACCTGACAAACTATAAAAATTGGATATGCCAGACTATTTATTATATTTAATCTGACTAGACTCTTCCCATACTTGATCTGACAAAAACTGATAGAATTGAATATTAATATTCCATATTCTGGACTATTCCCTGTACTTGACCTGACAAAAACTGATAAAAATCAAATAAAAATTGGATACTCCAGATCGTTTCTTATTAAAAATGTATTAATTTCTATTGGTTTGTTTGCTGATCCGAGTTTTCTCTGATTTTCATCGGAGACTCATAGTTTGACGATGAGAATAAAAATGACTTAAATCCGCTTTTATGGCAATCAATCCGAAATGATTTTTCATATTGATAAAAAAGGGTTTTCGTTGACTCGACGTTTATAAAGATCATAAAATGATAAACGTCCTATTGAAAACGTCGGAAGAATCAAAAACTATTAAATCAAGATAGTTAGGGTAATATTTGGATATGGTGCATAACATCTAAAGTCATCAAACGTTTGTATTTTATAAAATTCTTTACTAAGAAGTAATACAAAATTTTATCCGTGAATATGATAGAATAGGCCTTTTCTGAGCATATTCACGGATTAAATTTTGTATTTACTTCTTAGTAAAGAAGTTTATACATTTTATAAATACAAACATTTGATGACTTTAGATTTTATGCACCATAGCGATAGTCAATGAATTTTAGATACGTAATACATGTAGACAAGAAAAATTTGCCCAAGTTGTTGCTGCTACAACGGATATCGAGCATATTTTTTATCGTTATCCATTTTTTTAATTATACCAACCTTGAGCTCCCAAACAGTTTGATTTTTTTTAGAAAGTTTGCGTTTAATTTATTTGAAGCTGGGTTAATTTTTGGTGAAAGCAAAATTTACTTACCTAGTTATACAGTCATCCCTCCATATTGCATGTAATATAATCTGTGAGACAAAAACACATAAATGAAATATAACAAGTGAAAAAAATTATAATCAACTAATAATCTGTACAGTCGTGGCATAACTATAAATTTTCCTTTCATTTACTTCGGTTTGAATTAGTAGTTAATATATTGGTTGCTGATACAGTATTTTTTTTTTAAAAATAGTATCGATAATAATTGAATTTCACGAAATTTTGCAATTGTGTACGGCACACATGTCCAATATACGCAATATAAAATAATCGGGCATAGATAGATCTTAGCAAGTAACATTAAATTACCGAATTTTACAAATTAAATAAAAAGCAATAACAGATTACATTTGCAGGTTTGTTTTTATGCTAGAGCAAGTAATTATCTAATATGAACAATAATTTAAAATGATTTAAAAGCAATTTGGAATTTGCCATTGTCCATTATTTCCTGCATGTTGTTGATTTAACATTAATTGTTGTTGTTGCTGTTGTTGAAGATTCATTACTAGAGTTGGCATTTGTTGAAAGGTCATTTGTTGCTGTTGTGGAGTTTGAACTAATTGTTGTGATTGATATTTATCACTATTATTATGATTATTATTATTATTATAATATTGATGAGGAGTCGGTGTCATCATCATAGATTGATGCCGTTGCTGTTGCTGGGATAGTATATTCCATTGACCTTGTTGTTCGAGTTGTTGAGGATTAATTTGCTGCAATGGAGTAATCCTTTGCGGAGTCATCATTACTTGTGGTTCGATTTGACGATGATCCTGTGTAGTCATTTGTTGTTGCTGCGAGAAATCCATGAAATGTTTTTGCTGCTGTTGTTGTTGAAGGTGATGGAATCTTTCTGGAGTTACACGCGGATGCGGGTGATGATTCTTTTGTTGAACTAAAAAAAGTGATTGGGTATGAGGATAAGGAATTGGAGGATTGGGAGTAATAGGATGATTCTGTTGTAATATTTCATTATTATTATAATTATAATTATCGTCATGATATTTTAACGCAGTAAAAGATGATAACGATGAACCAAACAAATAATTTTCAATTTCAGCTTTACTCTTTTTCTTTTTTTTGTAAAACAAATAATCTTCAGCATTCGTACCAATCAAAGACGGTGGACAGAAAGGTTGGCAGAGTAAAAGTGATGATGGTGGACTAACGGGTTCTTGTTTGACACCCGTCAAAGATGATGACGACGAGGATAAGATTGGAGAGGTGGATGGTTCAGCAGTAAGATAGTTATTTGTTTGTGAATTATTATTATTACCATTTTTATCTTGGCTATCATAATTGTCGGTGTTCATCGGAATTTGTCTGCTCATTTGGGGGAATGGATTCTTGTTATTGTAATTTCCATTCACGTCCCCACTATTTTTGTCATATTCGTTCGCGTTATCATTATTATAGTTGAATTGAGATTCGTCCATCGATATCGCTTTTTGCATTTGTTGTGGATGCTGATTTTGTAACGAAAACTCATTAATCGCATTAGATATCAAAGTATTGGATTCCATCATCATATTGGCATTGATGATGTTCTTATCAACATTATTATCATTATCATTATTATTATTCATATTATTAGTCGTCGTGTTGTTAATAATAGTAGTATTAACGATGTTATTGACATTATCGACAACCGGTCGAGTGCAATCCACCATCTCCATCATCAACATCGTCGGATTCATATCATTATACGTAATGACGTTATCACAAGAATCACCAGCAACAGGAATATCATCGTATTCATTCAAGACAGATTTTTCGGGAGTCGGCAAGAAATGGTTTATATCAAGTTTTGTTGATGTCGGCATTACACTGTCATTGTCACTGTTATTGATAGTAGCAGTATTTTTAGTGGTATTTGATGTTTCTGTTGTAGTTGCTACCGCCGCCGCTTTCTAAATTAGATGAACAAAGAGTTTTAGTTAATTAGTTTATTAAGTATAGTAACATATTCAATATCATTTTTTGGACGACTTACTGCTTCATATATTTTAATTTCTTGGGCATATCGTTCTTTTGCAGCTTGTTGAGCGTTTTTGTATGGCTACGTGAATTAAGTTAAAAAAATATAAAAGTGACTCTATTATTAACAAGTTCTTGATGAATCGTTTTACCTCTTTTTCCGCATCAGATAATCCGCGCCATATTTCTCCTAGTCGTTTTCTGACTTCAATGGGCTTCATGCCAGGGTTATCTCTTTTTACATCTTCTCTATGATATCATTAAAAAAAAATTTAGATTTGTCATGTTTCTAATATAGTCTTATTCAGTCAACAATAAATATAAATGATTACAATAATAATACCTTTTGACGCGAGAAAATTCTATAAAAGCATTTAATGGCTTTTTCGGAGCATTCGGATCTTTTGTCTTCTTTTGTCGCTTTGCAGCTAATTTTTTGGGTTCTTCTGCTGCTTCTTCGTGAGATATAATCGCTTGTGGTCCTTCGCTATCTGTTGTAGTGGTATTTGTAGCATTTGAGGTAGTGGTGGCGGCGACATTCTTTCTCTTTCTTGAATTTTTGATAGACGTTGTTGATGCAGTTGCTACAGATTCCAAATTTTGCAATTGTTGCTGTGTACCAGGAAGCATCTCACTATTTGCTTTCTGCGGCTGCGTCGCTGAATCCTGAATTTCAACCTGATTCGAAGCTTTTTTGCCTTTTTTCGAAGTTGTCAATGATTTCGTTTGCTTTGAAGACGCAGCAGAAGATTTGGATTTCGTTGTTGTAGTTGCATTCTTTTTTTTTCGCGGTGCCGAAATCTTTTTTACAGTTCCGTCATCGACTTTTTGATTTTTTTGGTCTTTTTGGGTGGTCACGTTTACTGTGGATGGCGGCTGCATAGTCGATGAATTCAGAGAAAAATGTGCCGATGATGACAATGAATCAGAAGAGATATTTGGTGAGGGAATCAAACACGTCGTCGCTGTTGTTGTTGGAACACTACTATTTGGTGGCGTTGGCGAAACACGCGACGACGTGGAAGAAGATGTCGTGGATGCGAGTACAGGCTTGAAGACCATTTTATTTTGTTTCCGGTTTATTATCTTAGTTATTGATGCCTATTTCTTTACGCTAGTGTATCTGTTAGAGTGAAATAAAGAAAGAAGTGGTAATATTATTAGATAAAATAACGATTATTGAAATATAAGAATAATTCAAGTCGTGGCAGTGAATGGCATTTTTATTTAAATATTATTCTTCCTCGGCCACATACATTTATTATTTATTAATCTTTGTCAGCATAATCGTAAATATTTTAAAAGCACTGTAGACGATAACTGATTAATTGATGCGATTATTTCTTTGCATAAGTAAGCGTTGTTGTTTGTTATTTTGATTAGGTCAGATTAACGAGCTTGTAGTTTATGTAATTTGTGTATTTCGATAGATGGATTGGTGGTGTACGCGCGTTATGGTATTTTTTAATGCCGTGATCGATATGAGTAAATAAGGATAGTTAAATTTATTGATTTTTAATGGGGTGAGATGGATGTTTAATACTTATTTTAGTAAATCCGCGCGTCTTGATGAATAGTGTGATTGATTGAGCTCTGCAAAGCACTTTTTTTTTTACTTTGTTTACGATTTTTACATCCATCTTTTACATCCATCATCTTTGTGCAGGAGTTGGATTTAATTTTTTATGGATGGATGTATAGATGCATGGATCTAAAGCTTTCATGATTGTTAGTTAAAGATAAAAAGCAAATTTATTTGACTCTAACAAGATATAAAATATAAGTGTGCTTCGCTTTAACTTAATCCTCATTTTTGGAAAAAATTTATATTGCATCAAGCACGCTATCCTTTGTGTCATTCTACAAAAAAATAATCGATACCTTCATTTCATGTTACCACGAATCTCAAATAAATGTTTGCTGTATATTATTTCCTGCTTCTTTATTTACACTTTCTCAAGATATCCGCAGAATTTTTAAACCAAAATATTATATTCAATATGAATTTCACTCGAAGCGTTATACGCTGTTTTTTGGTATGAATAAAAAACATTTGCTTTATCTATGCTTGCAACATGGTAAAAAAAAGAAGCAGTTTTATTTGCTACTTGTCGTCTCCAGTAAACTGCTATTTCATTGTCTATTGAAATACATCTGAAAAGAACTTGCTCATGTGATTCGTTTGATTATACAGTTTTTTTTGAAATGATTTTTATCATCACGAATATAATATGTTGAGATGGATAGATATTCGATTATGTTTTAGTCACTGTAGGGAATCCCTTTATGGAAAGCATACTGTGATGCATCGATATTTCTTTGGTATATCCAATTTTTGATTTTCATATTTGATATTTTTAAGTGTCGCATAAATTACGGTACTCTACTGATAGTGCTCTTATGATAGACTAATATCACAATCGGCAAAGATCTAATCTTGAGATTAGTTTTTTTTTGCATCTTAGCATTTATTACGGGTTTCTATTTATACCAAAAACTTCATAAATGCATCTCACGCTTTTAATTCATCTTGTTAAATAAACTTTTTTTTAAAAAAAGAAAGCCCATATTCTCTTAAAATTCGAATGAATATCTTCAAGAAAAAATTTATTCAAACGACAGTACTATATGGGAAAGAGTACTCTGAAAAATGAATAAAACAAGATTCACGGTGCAATTTCATCAAAAATTTACGTTACTAAAATACATGCAATACCCTTGAGGTTAAATTGGTAGATCCATTTAGTGTCCAGTGATCCCATGATCGTAGTGTAACGGCGACAATGACTCGGTGACAAAATAATTAATTAAACTAGGAAATGGATACCATTTATGTCCGGAGCTAAAAATTTAATTATAAATAATTATTTTTTTAAATATTAGAATTTTTTGTGTTCAACCAATCAGTCGCATGAAAGCCGGACAGAGTTCGCACGTGATTATGTCGATCAAATAAGTAGTAGAAATAGAATGTCCTTCGCTTCGCTCCGGACAAATTAAACAAAAGGGGATAATTTTATATAAATAGAATGTTAGGGGAAGGAAAAAATAGAAATAACCAATTATTATCTAATTTTATTCGTTTCATACTTCATAAACCTCACGATAAAACATCAATTAAATAAAATGCATGTAACATATTCTATAGCGAATCCTTATTTTTGTAACACAACTCTGGTCGTACAACAGATCATTGTAGATCCTAAACATAATTCCTTAATTCCAAAACCTCCAATTCCCGCTCTCATTTGGTTCTGTCTTTGTGGATTGGCATTCTTCAAGAACCTTTAGATAAAGTAACCCCACTAAAAAAATCAACAATGGATAACAATACAAACCATGAAAGTCCAAACTAGGCGAACTGAAGCGTCAACGCCAGTAGCATCATGGACGCCCAATCACAAACTGGAACCATCATATCGGAAGGATCTACCCAAAATCCGGCTATGAAAATTGCGCAGATTAGGGGTTTTTTTAATTTTACCATGTTGTGTGATCATAACGTTAAACTCATTTCTCGTGAATATTCTAGGATCAAGTACACACACAACCTCTGAAACACGGATGTCTTGCAAACAGTCGATAAGACTATTCATGCGACTGGAGACAGCCATATCTGGATAGCTTGACATAAAAAGTAAAGACGAAAGCTAACAATCACTCATCTTTATATCCTGAATCATCATTGATTTGATTCTATTGACTAATGGAGACTCACCTCAAGCAAGTGAGGTATACATTGAAATACAAATGTCTTATTGTATCCACTATTTGGATTTAACACGATACCTACATGCATATTGTGCCACAATTGATGAATTCATATGGGATTAGGTAATTTACAAAACGATAAGAGGAACTTGCATATCAATATGCATTACGATTTTCACCATAGTACGTATTGCATCTTGATGCTTTCATTGCCGATTTTGGACTTACAAAATTTATGGAGTTCTTTATCTTAGTCCAGAGATGCTAAAATGGAAACCTTACACTAAACTGCTGATATTTATAAGTTTGGGATGGTTATGTGCGAAATTGTTGCACGAACGCCTACGTATTTGGTGAGCGAAATCATGATCCAGATATATCATGGTATATAGAAAGAATAAGTTCCACTTTACTAATAGTTTGCTTATAATTCAGAGCCGTTTGGTTGGACCATTACCAACTATATGCAAACTATTAAGTAAAGGTGGAATTTTCAAGGTTCGCAAACGTCCATTAACTTGCTTATTCTTTTTTATCAGTGTCTTGTATTGACACCAATAAAGGAGTATGACTAAGATACGAATCGTGATGCAAATTTATTATTATTTATTCCAGAAAACAGACCAATCTTTATTTCTGAATATAGATTTCGTAATTGTCCCAAATCACAATCGGTCCAAATTAGAATAGGAATATGACCAGAGTTAGGGTAAGGGTTAGGGTTAGTGCTGAAGGATAGGCTATATTTGGTTTAGATTTTGATTTGGGATATATCCCAATTGTCAATTGGGCAAATTGTGATTTGGGGCACAACATATATATTAAATTTTTTTACCCAAAGGTTTTTTACATAGAAAACCAACCAACCAGAGGCCAATCTCAAAAAGAATACTCATATTGTTCTGTATTTTCTGCAACAACGAATAGAAAAATGCAACAAAAGAACAAAGAGCAGCAAAAAAAACCAGAATAGTTAAGTGCACAAAGAATAAGATATCTTATTAATATCGAAGTAGTCTGTTTATAGCTACATTAATAAAATGTCTTCCTTTTCATACTCATTAATTAATTGAAACTTATATACATGTATTTGATAATACCGATATGTAAAAAAATTCTTGCATTCTTAGTAGGGATGCATACCCTAAATATTAATTTTCTATGTTGCAAAACAAACTTCATTTTTAGTATGAAACTAAACAAATTAGACATTATCCAAAAAAACGTATTAAATTAAATGACAATAAAAGTCTAGGTTACTAATTTATTAGCATTAGAGATCACGTAATCTGCAACAATTTCTGCTTCATTACACTTCTCCAACCAATTGCATACCGCGCGTAAAGTAAATATGCGCATAAACAAGATAATACAAACAATATAGTAATTGTTCTTTTTAAATTTTGTCCTACAGTGTGTGTTATCAACTTTTGGTATGCTACGAAAAATCTTGACAATTAATTGGAGGCCAAGCCGGTAATGTTTCGGACGAAACTATTGTTCAAAATTTTTTTCAGTTTCGCCCTATAAGTCCGAAACTATCCGAAACCTTAATTTGGAAGCACTTTGTAGATCAAATTGGGCGAAACTAGTTTCGCTTGAAACACTACTGGCCAAGCTAAAATTTGCTGCAGCCAGATTTTGAGTTTTGTTTTGGATGTTCTGCTATATCGATTCGGTATTCAATGATATTTTAGGTAAAATTAAAATACATGTATTGCTTGTCCCAAATTAAATTCTATTGGTACCGCGTGGTACAGCGGATTTACTAAAATTGGGTCAAATCTAAATCGGTTTTGGAGTCAAAAGACTACTCCCTCCATTTCAAAAGCGATTTTTGTATTGTACATGTACTTGGGTACTTGTACAATATATGGTCTTTAAAGAATGGTTTACGGTAAATTGCCAAAATGAAAGCTTTAATAAGATCTGCTAACTGCAGAAATGGAACGAATCCAAATACATGTAATATCGATGTTGATATACATGAAAATATATTCCAAATTATGAAAAAACAGTAAAAGACTTTGAAAAAAAATCGATAATAACTTAGTCGCTATAATGAAAATTCTTCAAACAACAATACCTGAACAATACTTTCTTGGGGTTTGTCATAGACTGGGAATTGGAAACATCAAGAACATTGTTTATATCATAAAGCATTCGAAAGTGTTTATCTTGATGCTTCTGCTACCTTACGGGATACACAATATATAGCTTTTGAACATTACTTAAAAGGAACATTTTTAGCAATTTGCTTTTCGCCAACAAAGTTTTCTTTTTGACTTTAAATTAATTACTCGGAGAACAACTAATTGAATAACAAAGAAACCTATGAATTTTGATAAATAAAAAGCAACCAATCATATTCAAAAAAGAGTACGTATTGGAAAAATCAATCTCTTATTTGGAACATACTATAACCAAATTAAAATCGCATTACAATATATAAAGATTCGAAATCAAATTTAGCAAATTAGTTAATCTCGTAACTATATTATCAATAATAGCTTATCTTTTTAATCAAAATTATTATAATACTTTAGTCAATAATATTTCTTTTAATAAAATACTCATTTTTGTGAATAGTAATAAAATAATAGTAACTTTTAAAATAGGAATGTTGAAATTTTAGCTTTTTATTTTATTAATTAAATATAATTTTAAAATTATTATATTATATAATTTACTAGAGAATAATCAATTTTTTAATGAATTTTAATTATAATTATAGTTAAATCTCTTTATAATTACTATTCTTGAAAAAGCAAAACTAGATAATTATAAAGAAATATATTTATAAAGAGATTTATTATTAGATTTATTATTATATTTATATATAAATAAAAAAAATAAATATTGTTAAAGCTCAATTTTTTATTAATAAAATCATTTTTGATGTAATAAGTAAACTTTTTATTAAGTTTTATAATTTAATAAATATAAATAATAATATATTTTATTTATTAACATTTATCTATTTGAAATACATAGCAAATTTGTAAAAGAAATAATTTAAGAAATACTAATCAAATTATTATAAAAAATAATTTAAATATTTAATATTAATAATATTATCTAATATTTATTTAATTATAAATAAAATATATTTGATAATATTGTAATTAATTTTAAAAAATATATTTATTAAAAAAAAATTTATAATAAAAATTTATTTAAATTTATTATTTTAATATATTTTTAAAATTATTTTTAATTTTCTAAATATTTTTTTATTTTTTTTAATATTTTAAATAAATTATTTGATGAGTTATTATTTTTTATATAATTATTTATTTTTAATTATAATTGAATTTATATATAATTAGAACAACTTGATCAAATTAAATTTAAAAAATATATATTAAAATATATAATATTATTTTTAGTTTAATATAAAAATAAAAAATATTAATTAATAAAATTGAAAATATTTATAAAAAGAAAAAATTCATATTTTATTATTTTAATTAATAAATTTTGATATTATTATATTATTTTTGATTGTATCTATATTTTTTATATATAATTATTAATTAATATTATAATTTAATTTATTTAATATATTATTACTATTTTATATAATTTTAAGTTTTATTATAGAAGAATATATAAATAATATATCAAATAGAAAGTTTATAAAATATAACTTCAAGTGAAAGAAAGAATACAAATATTTAAAGATAAATAATCTATATTTAACTAAAATAAGACCAAAAATATTCAAAATAATTATGTTCTTTTTAAAGTAATTTATAAACAAGTATTATATAAGATTTTTTTATTAATTTAATTATATATTATTAACTTTGTAATATAAATAAGAGATTAATTACAAATATTATAAGAAGTATAACTTCATAATATAAATAATAGATTATAAATTAATTAATAATAATAACTTTATAATTAAAACAAGAAGTTATAAGAAATATTCAAGAAATTATTAAAAGAAATATAAGTAAAATTACTTCTCAAAATTCACTTATCTTTTAGAGCTAAAATATATATTATATTTATATAAATTATTTATTACTTAATTATCAGAATCTAAACTAAATTTGATTAATAATATTATATAAAAAGTACTTATATTACTTATTTTAATATTACATATAATTTATAATTAATATTAATTAAATTAGATAATATTAATCAATTAATATATATTTTCTATATTAAGATTATTTAATATAAAATTAATAATTATAATATGAAATAGTATGAATAAAATATGAATAATATAAAATAAAAAAAATATAATTTATAAATTATAAGATAAATATGAGTATTATAACACACTACCTAAAATAATGCATTACTAATAATTTATATAATAAGCTATTAGTAATGTATCATAATTTAAACTGTATTATAATATCTATATTTACATTATATAAATTAATTATTCAATAAATATAAAATATAATAAATTATATAATATGTTAAAATTTATATTATAATAGTATTTATATTAAAATATTATTTTTTAAATCTATTAATAATATCAAAATTATATTTATTAAGTATTATAAGCTATTTATTATATTTTTGAGATAGACAATAACTAAGTGATCAATTATAACAAGAAATTTTTATTTATATAAAAGTTTAAAATCTTAATAATTAAATAATTAAAAATTCAATTTTAAATAAATCAATATTCAGTTTCTTAATCTTGCTTAAGATTTATAAAAGTAATTTAAATAACAAATTTGAAGTTTGATTAAGTTTAATTAAACAAATTATTTTAGTTAGGTAACTCTTTTTGATAAAATAAAGATAAAGAATAAATATTAATGACATTATTATAGTAATAACATAAATATTATAAATTTTTAAAATAATTAAAAAACATAAAAATATTTATATAATAGTAAAATCTCCTAATATTATTTCACTTTTTTATTATTTTATTTTTATATATATTATTTTACTTTTATATAATTAGTTATTTTACTTTATCTATTTAATTCACTTTTTGTATTTTCGAAAAAATGTATAAAAAGAAGTGTTATTTGAGTTTTAACTCAACATGCTATAATTAAAAATAAAAATCTCTCTTAACAAAAATCTTCTTCTAAATATCTTTTGTCTCTTATATTTTTTTATATACTTCAAATCTTGTATATAAGTAATTTTATATTATATCATA